TCCTTCAACGTGCTCAAAGACAGCCTGGACGTGCTGGTGGGCTACGCCCTCACTGAGGACGGAGAGCTGGCCCTGCGGCGCGCCGCGACGGACGCGCGCGCGAGCGTCGACAAGTTCAGCACGGGGGCGCCACCTGCCACTGAGAAGGTCGCGAAGGTGGTCGGGCGTCCGATGGCGGTGGCGGAGGCGCCATGGGGGGGGGCGCGCGCCTCCGCCGCCGGCCTTGGACGGCGCGGCCGACCGGGAGACGACAGCGACGCCGCGCTCCGAAGCATCGGCGGGCCACGGGCCCGCGTCAGAGGAGCCCAGCGGCTGCGGCGGGAAGCTGGTGGAGGACGTTGCCGACGTCCACTCCCTCGTCAGCATTGGCTATTCCAAGAAGACGCTCAAGCGCATGGCGAGGTTCTTCGCCATGGTGCGGCACGAAACCCCGCGGGCCCACGCGCAGGGGGCCCTCGGGGCCATTCTCGAAAAGAAGGGTGGCATGATCCGAGCTGTGAGCTGCGCGAAGGGCACGGGGACCTGGCTCGAGAAGCTGAGCGCCGCGGCGGGTTGCCGCGCGGCGAGAGCTGAGGTTGAAGGCTGGGGGCGCACAAACGCGCGGCCGCGCGCCTGGGCAACCGGCGGGCCTTCGGGGGGGGCGGGCGTCGATGCAGCCGCGCAGGATGCCCACCGCAGGATGGCCGACTACTCCGACCAGTTCTTCTCGAACGACCAGTTCACGATGAACGCGCAGTACAAATGCAATGCGAACGAGACTTGGGACAACCCAGGAGGGCGCAGGTCCGTGATCCGCTCGGGCCGCTGGACGCAGCTCCTCTCCCTCGAAGAAGAGGCGGGGGGCCGAAGTGGCCAGCGATGGCGCTGCCATTGCGGAGCTCGATGCACGACGACCTTCGGCGCGCGCATCGAGATGATCGTCCGCGCAGCCAAGCCACCGAAGGCGCAGCGCCGACAGGCCAAATTCTCCGAGGATGGCAGCAGGGACCTGACGGCCCCGCTGCGGGCGGACAAACTCAAGAAGAGCACGCCGCGGTGATCGATCCCACGGACCTGCCGCAACACTTTCCGCAGGTAGAGCCCCTGGCAGTGGGCGCAGCGTTCAGGAAATGCTCGCCGAATCAGAAGCAGCGGGGGGGGGGGGGGGCATTGGGCATTGATGAGCGACACGACGTGGGATAAGATACCTGAGTTCGACTGGTGCGACACGTGCTCGCGTGTAGCATGGGGGCTCAACGACCCTGCGTGGGCGGGCTGCAGCGAGAAGACCAGGAACAAGATGAAGCGCGAGAAGATCGTCGAGGCGAGGGCGGCGCTGAATGACGAGCAGCGTCGCAAGATGGCCGTCGGCAGCCTTGCCATTGGGGGGAATGCAGGGGCAGCCCCGAGCGCCCCCCCCGCTGACGGGCCGCAGAAGGACTTGAGGATGAGCGGTGCAGGGGCGGCGGGCCCGCCACCGCCACCCTCGCCCGCGGCGCTGACCAACGCGGAGGTGCCGCCGCCGCCGCCTGCTGGCCCACCGCCAGACGTCGAGTCTCAGCGGTTTGGCCCCGCGGTGGAGGGCAGCTTGCGGGGCGGGGCGGGGCGCGCGCCCCCGCCCGAGGTTCTCCCGCGCAAGACCGGGTGGCTCTGAGGCCCCAGGGCTTCAAGGCTCGAGTGAGTGAGCGAGTGGCTGCGCGCGCGCCCTGACACCGCGCGCTACTTGAGCGCCGTGCCAACTTTATCAATCGCCAGGGCGCGCCAACATGCGGCTGACTGGGGCTCCACCGCGGCCTCTCTTGCGTGCCCTGTGCCATGCTGTAGCGCTGGGGCCGCCCCGCGGGCTGCGGGCCGCCCGCGGCGCTGCCGTGCAGCCCTCGGTACTTCAACTAAGTGACCAGCCATTTTGGCTTGCCCCACCCCGTTTCTCGCTGTCAACTCTTGCCGCGCGAGGCCCCCCGAGCTCCAGGGGTCGGGCGGCGCTGGGGTAGCAGCTGCTCGGGCGCCGCTCCTCAGGAGCTCCTCAGAAGCTTCTCAGAAGCTCCTCAGAAGCTCCTCGGAAGCTCCCCAGGAGCTGCTCGGACGTTCCTCGGAAGCTTCTCACAAGCTCATTATGGTTCCTTCGACGCCCCTTATGAGCTCCGCAGAAGCTGCTCAGAAGCTCTTCAAAAAAACGCTCCCGAGGCGCTTCAGAGGCGTTTCAGAAGCTCCTGAGAAGTTCCTCCGAAACTGCTCGGACGATCCTCAGAAACCCCCCAGAAGCTGCTCATAATCTCAGGTCAACAGCAGCTCCTCAGACGCTGCGCGACAGCGCATCAGAGGCGTTTCGGAGGCGCTTCAGAAGCTCTTCATAAGCTCCTCATAAGCTGCTCGGGCGCTCCCCATAAGCTCCTCAGAAGCTGCTCATGATCTCAGGAGTTCCTTATCAGCTCCTCAGAAGCTGCTCAAAAGCGCTTCAGAAGCACTTCAGAAGCGCTTCAGAGGCGCTTCGGAGGCGCTGCGGAGACGTTTCAGAGGCGCT